CTATTTTTCTTTTACTCTGAGCCATGGCCTGATCAATTTATTGGCTTGTCTTCCAGTTGAAGCTTTGTTCAGTGTCTACTTTACTGTTAGACCCCCCTAAAATAAAATTTATTTTGGATAACTATTTCTCAGTTCAGATTTGTACTTTTTATTATGAGGCTTCCCACTGGGCTTTCAATTTGTTTCTCTACTGAACATCATCTATACATCAACTTTGATGTGTTTTCCTTTTTTGGAGATAGGGAGGGTCTCAGCTGAGATCTGGGCTTACCTCAAATTCACGCGCTCAAGTGGCCCTCTCTCATCCTCTCTTATGTATGCACATTGTGCCTGAGCTACACATTTTCTATTGACTGTGGATCGCACAACTTTTCTGTTTGTAATCATTTATTGTATACAGAACTTCAGGATATACTATGAAACCTTTGTATTCTCTCTTTTTTTTTTTTTTTATAAAGAACATTATGTCTACTCTGGCTTTATAAGACTTCATGAAAATAGCTGAAAAGCATAAGCCCAATTAAATTCCAGTTTCATTAACAGATAACCTTGATGCCGCTTGGTTCCAGTGAATTTGTTTCTCTTGGTCCTGAAGCACAGCCCTTGGTGCTAGAATGCTGTCCTTACTTCTCCAGCACAGCATTGGGGTCTCAGCAATAAACGCCGTGTTTACTCACCCTCTCTTTGAAGTTGAATTTCAAAATTCAGTCTGCATTGAGACTTCAGTGCTTTCTGCTGGATTCCTCTGAGAGTCTCACTGCACAGATATAGTTTTGGAATCTGTAAAGGATTTGAAAGGCATCTGTAGGCAGATTTTGGGGTATATTTCTCCAAGGCCTTTCCAGATTTCAGATTTCCAGCTGTTCTAGAATCCCCACCGATTCCTCAGCCCAGCAAGGCTGCCACATTTGGCGTGAATTCTACTCCCGAATGAACAATACAAGCTGGATATTATCCCCTTGGTAAAAACAAGTTAATGTGGATCTCTGATAGTACAGGATTTTGTGCAGTTTCTGCTAGGATTGAGTTACTCTCTCAAGTCTTCTAGTCATTACTTTCTATGTATTGTTCAGAGTTTATTATTGATGAGTTTTTAAAAAATTTTTTCATAAAAGTTATAAAACACTTCATTATCGGACTGAAACCTCTGAAATTTCAAAGTTTTAAATTAAAAAAGTTAAAGGCAAAATTAAGTTTATAATTTATTTACAATCCATTTAGGATAAAAACCCACTTTATGCAACTGTAACCTTTAATTTCTTCTGAAGAAAAGTACAAAAGATCAGACTAAAACTTAGACAAACATTTAAAGAAAAATCCTTTAAGAGTCCCAAAACAAACTGTAAATGGTTC